TTATATGTGGTGATGAGAATCTAACCCAGTGCCTCACACATGCTAGGCAAGTGCTCTACCACTGAGAAACACCTTCTGACTAAAAATTGTTTCTCTATAAACTTGGATAATACTAACAGTATATTCCAGCATTTATTACTATTGTGGCATTCAGACTAAGATAGGTGTGTGACAAATTTGAAGTACCAGGAAAGCACAGTATAAGTAGAATAATTGCATTAAAAATCAGTTAGAAATGTGTTTGGGGCCATCTGGGGAAAGTTTGCAGGCTATCCTATGCAATCTGTACTCCATGCATAATACAACAAGAAATCAGGACAGCCTACTGGCCATAACCCTGGTTCTATGGTACAAATAAGTGGGCAGTATGGGGACAGCTGAGTGTGGTGCATGATGAGATCACACTGGCAAGTTGTTCAGAAGACTTAGGACCCTGCCCTCATTTTTCAACTTGGTGTTCAAATAAAGGCCCATCCTTATGAACTGTAGTGAAATTTTGGGGACATGTAAAGAGGGAAATTCTCCATGGAGAGGAAGTACAACCATTAGGGAGATGAGAACCTGCCACAGAACAGAACAGTGTTAGTTTCATTATGCCTGATGAAGAAAAGGAAGGGGTGGTTAGCACAGAATGTTGGTTTACATGATGAGCCGAATAGCACTATGTTTACGGCTGTGGCTGCCACAGCCTCAGTGCCTTCTTTATTCACCTCCATGACATTCTTGTGCACAACTTTGGACAGACACAGGTCTGTCTCAGTTGACATGGCAGACAAGTCAGCCTGGCCCGGTTGAAAGGCATCGACCATTCCCAAACGCTGAAGCACAGACTTCATTTCATAATCCTCCTGCAGTTTAAATCTTGGAAGGAAAACTTCCACTTCAGTATTCTGCAAAGAGGCTGCCTTGGTCCAGGCTATGAATTTCTCAAAAGTCAGGTTATTTTCCACCTGAAAGACCAGAATCACAGGTTCATATTCAGACTATTGTGGATATCGACAGACACAGACATTTCCATGAACATTCCTTGTTAACTGTCCACACAGGACCAGCAGTGCCTTCAGCAGCCTAGAAACTTGTGAGAGATCTGACTTGCCCACCACCCCACGTGCTATCCCATATATGATTTCACTGCAGGAAGACTGTGGCTGTCCCTCCTTATTCATCCACTAGCAAACCATGTTTATTTGTGAAAAACATCTATGCCTAGTCAATGGTGCTTTTCCAGTGGTATTTGTTGCTTTGAATGAGGCTTAGTTTTCACATGATAAACCATTGCTGGCAAGCCAAAGAGACTGGGCAAAGGAAGGGCTCTCAGCATGAGACTCTTCAGGAGAGGGACATCTGCCTAAGGTGGAATGAGGCACTGTTTGTTGAAATTCATCATCACAGTTAGGGACCTGGACAGAGGGAAAGCCCATGGGAGCTGCTCTGCTCTGAGTGACCATTTAGGTCATCACAGTGCACTGCAACCATTGATAGAATGGTTGACTCTCTTGCAATAGGGATCATATCACAAGGAATCAAGGAGGACAGGGCTGGGCCATTTGGGCTTTGGGTTGGAGATACTGTGAAAGAAAGGCACAGGGTGTACCCACTTCTTCCCACAGAAATTGTGAGTTCAAAGGAGTGCAGTCCCTCCCAACTCACCACACTGAAGTCCACATCCTCATCTGGGAGCAGGATGATCATGCTCAGCATCTTGCCAGCATAAGGCAGCTCCACCACCTGTGTCTGGGCCTCACTTATGTAGATGAAGTTAAAATTGGCTTCCTGCCACATCATCTGCACTGGCCTTTCCTCCTCCTGAGAGGAATGACCACATGAACACAGCATTTAATGGTATAAAAAGGGCAAGAAAACTCTCAAATCTGCTGGGGTCCAGCACTGCTAGAAATTAATGAATAATTATCTGAAATATGCCTTATAAATAAGGGGAGGAATTTAATGCATACAAGCTTCCTTATTGCATTACATTGCATCTTAAGGGTTTACAGAATTTAGCCAACTATACTAATATCAGTTTTACTTAAAGTTGACTAGGGCCTTTGCAGTCATTTTTATTAATACGAAGCTGCAGATGTTGAATCAATAATGATAAAGTATGATTAACAACAATTCAACTGTGAGATTATTTAAAAAATATTTTTAGTTGTAGTTGGACATAATAACTAGTTGTTTTATATGTTTATTTATATGTGGTCCTTAGGATTGAACCCAGAGGCTTGCACATGCTAAGCAAGTGCTGTACCACAGAGCCACAACTCCAGTACCTGAATGTGAGATTATTTTAATTAAAGAATAATAGATTTAAAATCTGGGGTGTAACTTCATGGTACACCACTTGCTTAACATGTACAAGCTCTGAGGTTGATCCCTCATTGCACAAAAATGTAAAAACGAAACAAAAATCGTGATTCAATATATGTGTTTTCACATTCCCTCTTTGTACTCTGTCTCATGTCTGATATATATATATATATATTGCATACATATGTATGCCACCTCTTTTTGCTTTTTATTTAAGCAACTTGTGTCTATAAGGAGGTATTTGTGTCCAGAATAAGGTTAAACCAATACATTATGAGACTTCATCAGAGGCATTTAGAGCGCTAATAGGCTGTAAACCATAATAGATAGCAAGTATTATTTATTCAAATCATTTTTCCACTGAGATTAAAATTCGCTAAAAGAGATGATAAGTTTGAAATTGTGATTAACCAATTATGCCTTTAAAAAGTTAAATTTTCTATTCAATTTCTTCCTCAGACTAGCATAATTTTTGAAAGTCTCTCCCTACCTGGTTTATTTTGAAAGGCATTTCTTTTGTGCATGATTTGTCAAATGGCTCATTCCATGTTCCTTAGAAGTAGATGGCATTGACAAGAACCAGCCTGGTCTGCTCATCAATCGAGCCCATTGGTAGCAACTCTGGAATTTTGCCTTTCAAGAAAAGCACAAATTCTGTCAGTGGCTTTTTCTGAACCCATGGTGAATAAACATGACAACGATGTCTTGGAGATCCAAACATTCTGGTTTCAAATGTGCTGAGTTTGGATGATATGTATAAAAGTCAAAATCCCAGCTGTGAATGGTATTCATGATGATATACACTGGAAGAGCCACCAAATTGAAGATGGTGAAAGACTTCTATGTCACTGGAGGAAAGCAGGTTGGGACAAAGCAGAAACTTGACACCAGGTTGGAGAAGAAGACAAGCAGCAAAGGAGAGAGGGGCTGGGTAGGAGCTGACATTACTTGCTGTGGGTAAGAGCAGTGTCAGGTCTAAGGCCCTGTGGTCAGGCCCAGTTCTAACATTGTACAGCTACCTGCAACAATCCTGCGGCAGATAGAATTGAATAGCTCCAGAGTAGGGACATAGGAGGAGTTTCTGGAAGCTACAGAAGAGATGATATGATTGCATCCCCCTGGCACCTGGAATCCCTGGAACAAATAATAATTTGGGTAGGTGAAGGTATGTCCTTCTTTCCCCATATATCAAGTGGTATGTTTCCAAGAAACTAAGAGCATCCCTGCTAATTTGCTGCCTCTAGAGGGCACCAGAAGAGAAGACTCCAAGAAGAAGTAGTGGAAAGAACTACCTCTATTTTTCACTATCTCATTTGTTAGCAGAAATAGGGACATTCCTAGAGATGTGTAAGTGCCTGATGGTTCAAACATCAAACCATTATTGATCTAGAGGACCAAAGTTAGAACTTGTCACTCTCTAAAACAGAAATGAATACATTTTAACCTCACAAGCAGGGCATTTTCAATCTCTGGAATGGATCAGCCCTGAGAGAGGCTCTGTAGTTGACTAATCAAGTCTAGGCTTCTCAAGTCTGCTGAAGGGCACTTACGTGAGAGATAGGAAAGAAGAAGTAGGAGAACTCATCTTAACATGTAAAAGTGGGAGAAGTGAAGTCCAAACTGACCCCAGGAAGAGGAGGGCCAAGGTCATGACTTGGGACGATCTGGCCATCGATCTGTTCTCATAGATGACAATCATAGGCCATTGACATGTTAAGTATTACATGGGAAATCTGACCTACAAATTTCTATTGACACTTGCATCAGCCACTCTGGCCCTGGGAAAACAGACAGCATTAATTCTCTGGTTTTGAAAACCTGAGCACTGATCAGATCTTCTGTGAGCCATTAGGTTCACAGGCACCAAGAGGCTCAGCCAGGCAACCTTGCTCTGATGGTTCTGCAACACCAGTGACATTAGCAGTGAGGAGGAGAGGTAGAGGAGAGAAGAGAGGAGAACAGAGGTGGGGTGGGAGGAGAGTGAAATAACTTATAATTCTGACCTTCCGTCTCTTTTGAGACCCAAGTATTTATATGCTCCCTGGACTTCTCTGTAGCTTCAGCAAAGGACAGCAGCTCCAGCTCCGCATGGTAAAACTGAAGACAGGACTCCTTAAATGTCTTTGGAGAGAAATAATTCAAAGGGCCAGGTTGCTCAATAAAATGACAGTGAGCTTCAAAGCATTCTGAAGGCTATCTTTAGGTTGTTCTTAAAATTAAAGACATGATCAAATCTTAAGCTAATTAATGGTGAAATATTTCAGTTTGTTAGGAGATATTTCCTGAGCTCAAGAGAAAATAAATGAAATTTTAGATATTGCCAAAATTGAAATAATACAAGTTTTGATTGTAGAATTGGTCTTTATAAAAAATAGTTTACTGTGAGTTTCTCAAGTTCTCTAGAATATTGTTCTTTTATTTAACTATTTATGCATTTAATTTTTTGTTTATTTATTTATTTTTGCTTGGTTTTGCAGTACTGGGGATTGAGCTCAGGGCCTTGAGCATGCTAGGCAAATGCTGTACCACTGAGCTATGTCCCAAGGCAGTTTTCCATTTTGTTTTTGAATCAAGGGTGTCACTAGGTTGCCCAAACTGGCCACTAACTCTCCATCCTCTTGTCACAGCCTCCCAAAAATGTCATACTGCCTGGTCTCTAGGGTCTCTCTTCTGGATTGTATATCACCAAGTATTTTAAATATAACTTTTATTGTTCTGCTGATTCAACTTGCTGAGAGGAAATCATAGGTCTTCTCTCCAAAGAGCCTGTTGGCTGTTGTAAGCAAGTACTTAGACCCAGGCTTGTTCACTTGGGTGAGAAGCATCTGGAAGCCCTTATGGATGTCTTCCTCTGTGTTTAAAGACATTGCCTGTGAAGGAAAGCAAGAAAACCCTCTCAGTTTTGATCTTGATCTCCACAAGTATTTTCAAGCAATATTCTTCTCAAATACTGCATGAATTTATCCTTTGAGAGGAAGTTGATTCTAATTGAGAAGTGACACTGGTGGGATAGGTGGAGAGAGGGGCCAGGAAACTGCTGAGTAAGATACGGGTTTTGTACCTGCACAGAGCTCTCTGCATTGTTTATAGATGAGTGAGCAATATTACAAAACGAAAGGGGCAAGAGAGATTCAGAAAAGGGACCTATATCCCATGGAAACCATAAATTGTCAGAAATAGAGAAAAACTTCCCTGTATTTATGTACAAAATGATGCGTTTCAAAACACTAATATAACTTGCCTTTATTTATTTACAAAGATGCAGTTCAAAAAACTAAAAGTCCATGAAAAATTTGGACAGTAATGCAATCATCATGATAACATTTAAAAGGAAATAAAAGTATAAAATGAGCAATATGATTAATAAGAATAAATCAGTTCTTAAACAGTATCCTAGAGAGAGATAATATATGTTTACTATATGATACTTTATATTTCAATAAAGTTGTCATATTCAACAAGGGAGTTTCATTTGACTCTGAAATACATAAATCACACAGTTTATATTTAATGACATCAATGTAGGAAACTAAAAATCAATAACACTACAAATAAAATACCAACAACATGGAAATTAACCTACTAACTAATTATTAAAAACAATTTATAAAGAAATAACTTTCCTATGTAACAATCAAATAACTAACATGTTGTCTTTTTTTCTTTAGTTTTACTCAGCACTAGCTGTTGACATGGTATAAATAAGTGACAAAGCAGCACAACTTTGGGATGCGATCTTAAATGACAGTACTCAAAAAAAATCTATAAAACTCATATTTCTAGAATTTGTAATGTGACTTCTGTTTCACAACATAATTAAATTTAAGCTACATATATTTTTCTCAGTCTTCCAGTTGGTCAATATACCTTCTTTTTTGCCTAGATATTAGCCAGAAATTAACAAGAAAAGTCCTGTAACCTGGCAAAGATGTACAACCAAATTACCAAACCTTTTACTTTGTAGCTGGACTGCCGTCTAATGGAATATAGAAGGTATTCATCAAAAAGGTCAATGTGACTTGGTTTGACATGTTAATTTGACAGAAAAAATATAAACATCTTATATCCCACACAAACTGAAGTTTCCTGAATAATTTAAAACCAGAAAGAAAAACCTTTTAGTAAATTAATTTTGACCATGAAAGAAATTAGCAGAATGACAATTCTACAAGAAACCAATTAGAATCATTTTCAAAAGTGGTTATACAGGTTTGTGTAGCTCCAGTCTTTTCAACCTTAGAGGCAGATCTGAAACAACAGTAGTAACAGGCAGGAGCAACAGGCATAATGTAATGGCAATCTTTTGAGAATATTTGTGTATTAACACAATCATATTTTTGTTACTCTATTCACTCCACAGTTATTTTCTTATGAATAAACATGAGTCATAGTAGACACATAGATCATATCAGTTAAGTCTTTTGTCACAACAAGCATTAGAACTTTTTGGAGCTGTTTCTTCTGTGAAACATGATTTTGAGTAGCAAATTGTTTTTCCTCTGTGGCTCATCCCCAGGCCTGAGATTTGCAGTAATGTAGGAGCAGTTTATCATCACTGCCCAAATATCCCTCATCTGGGGGAGGAGCAAAGGACTGATTCCCATAAGTGAACAACTGTTCCAAGGCCACAAGTTTAAGGAACTTCTTGATGAAGTCAATTAGTGCTTGCATGATTCAGGTTCTCTCTACAACGCACATTTTGTTTTCATTATAGGGGTACCCCACAGCCTTTAGAACTATGTCCATTTTTATCTTGGTGTCACTGGAAGGCCCTCTCCCTGGCAAGACTGTAGCAGAAGAAGGGGACTCTGGAGTGGCTATATTTGGGGAGACATCTGTAAGTCCTTCATGTCAGCAGCAGCAGTTTAAGAGAGTTTCCACACTGACCTTGATGATTTTTAATAAAGTAAATACTAAAAATGTTTGTCCTCTTCTAAAGAATGATTCTAATATTTAATATAATATTTAAATATATGACTTATAATTTAGAAAATAATATGAATGTTCTATTACCAAACCAAGTAATTTCATCAAAAAATAGTTAAGCAGCATTAATTATTTTAATGTTCCAAAGGAAATAATGATATAACAAAACTCCCAACACACAATGTTAGAAAAGGGAGAAAAAAAATCCTGAGGAATTTAGGGAAAAACACAAAATGCTCATGAGTCCAAGAATTGATCTTTTCCAAGAAAGCACACATATCTACCCAACATAGACTGACATCAGCAATTGTAAGAAAAATTTATCAATACTCACAAGAAAAGGTATAAACGAAAAAGAGATTACACAGTAACCCCTGCAAGCAACCACCACAACATTTCACTGGAGGAAACACCTCACCTCTCTCCTTCCCTTCATTCTGTACCCTCTCCCTGAAATGGTCCAGGCTCACCCCTCCTTCCTCAAGAGTTCTGGAAAAACTCAAGGAGGGTATAAAAGACAACCTTGCAGACCAGTCTCTCCTCCTGAGTGACAGGTGAGCTTACCTGAGCCATCTGGTCTTTGGTGTTGCCCTTTGCCCCCAGGAGGACCATGGCCAAGGCAAAGGAGATGCCCAGGGGAGAAAAAAACACATTTTGTGAAGGTCTGTCTTGACACAGCATCTTCAAAACCTGGATGGCAAAGGTGCCATTTGCTTTTGAAAGAGAATCCATGATTCAGGGTCTGGGGGCAAAGAAGACAGAGAAACACAATGAAATGGGGCTGAGGACACTGTGTGTGCTCTCTGCTTGGCTTTCATTTTTCTTGTGAATTCAGAAAATTTCAGAGTACCAGTGAAAGCTATGGGAGTAGATTAGACATGTGAGGAAGGGGCTGGTGTCTGTAGAACATCAAACTGTCAAGGAAAAGAAGAGCAGAAAAGCATGCCTAGGAGAACAGAAGTTGACAGGTTGAAGAAGAGTGAGTAGTCAAAGCAAGAGCAAGGAGGTGCTGCTTGAGCCAGAGACAGTGGATTTAAACACCATGGGTCAGCTGTATGCAGTGAGACCCTCCCTCACCAGGGGAGGGCCTTAGATCCTGGGAAACCTCCTTGACAACTTCCCATTTCTCAAAGATCCCCTCAAATCCATGCCCAAGCAAGCCTTAAGTACCCTCCCAAATCATTATATCCTACTCCACTTCTCTAACCCCTGTGATCCTGTGCCTAGTACACCACATATCTCCACCGAAGAGCCTCTGACCTCCATGACCATGAGATCCCAAGTACAATCAGCACTTGTTTACTAAAATGCAAAGCAAGTGGACTGGGAAGTATCAGAACATGGGCTTCCCATGTTCTGATAAGAACAAGAAGTGGTTTCTTGATCCTATGAGCTCTCCCTTAAATCTCCAGTGGTGCTTGGGAGAAGCTCAAAATGTGTTTGTAGATGGCATTCCACCTGCCTGGCCCGGTAGTTTGCTGCAGTTCTCCTCTATCACAGCCTCCACCTCTACACACCCTGATCCCCCCATTTACCTTTGAGCCTTGGCAAACAATGATATACAAATTAAGAGGCTCCCCATCCCATCTCTGTCACCAGGCTCAAATCACTCATTGCTCTCTCCTAGGCTCAGCACAAAGAGGCACCAGATGTCCTAGTCTAGAGCTCCCTCCTACCCACCCTGACTCATCACTGCAAATTGTAATTCCTTTTCTCATTTATTGTTGGACCCACAAGACTGGCCTCTGTCTGCAGGAAAGGTACCTGGCATCCTGATTCTAAGCACCTGCAAGTATGCTCAGGAAACAGCAAGAGCTCCATCATTTAGGGAGAAACCTCAGATAAATAAAGGGTGCACTGGTTCTGAACTAGATACTGGAGATTTTAAAAGCACAGTGAAAGGTAAGGCAGAAGTTATTCTGTGACTACCTGAGGAGAGAGGAGAGGTGAAAAAATAGGGCCAATAGGCGGGAGTGGTGTTGGAGCATGAACACCCACCATGGAGAGGTCCAGAGCCAGCCAGGGGCAGGCAAGAGGCAAGCAGAGAAGCCAGGAGGCTGTGCAGCACCTTTGTCTTCTTGGAACCATGCTGCCCTACTCTGGGACTTGCCCTAACCAAGGAGACCCCCATGATCTCCCAAGAAGCTCTTTCTAAACACAGCAATGACACTGACTTTTTTAGATTGTCTTTTCTCATCTCAGTCTCTGGCATCCCTTCTCCCAGTGGTGACCTGGGGTTTCTAAACTTGCCTGGCTTGGTCCATTCCAGCCCCTGTACAGAGAAGTCCTCACCTGCCACCTTCCACAGAGTCTCTCCCTCAGGTCTCAGTGCTGCTAGCCTTGTGCTGTCTTCTGAATCACAGGACCAGGATCTACAGCTGTGCCTCTCTCAGGTCCACTCTGGGGCCTCTGTACTCCCAGGGACCTTTTACCAGGCCTGATTAGCTCTTGGAATTCCTACCTTCCAATCAGCATTTAGTGCCCCAGGGAAGAAATCCATGGGACCTGAGTCAAGTCATGAATTCCCTTGCTCTTGTGCCCCTAGCCTGGCCTCTGTCACCCACTGGTTTGCACTGGAACACCAAGGGAGACACTGGGGTGGAGTTGCACACAGCATGTTTTCTAGAGGATTCTGAAAGTGAAAGCACTCTAAACTGACAGCCAAAGGCAGGCTGCAATGTCCCCTGGGAAAAAAACAGTGGGGACTGGGGAAGGACACAGAGCCTACAAATCTGGGCTTCCCTACTTCCAGAAAGCAAAGACAGAATGACAGGCTGATATTTTAGGGGAGGAAAGTCCTACAGGTCTGTATTCTGAGCCTCCTGCCTGACACAAAGGAGAGATTCAGCTAAATGGAATGTGTCCCTTTCCCTTATATGCTGTTGGTGGGAATGTAAATTAGCCCCATCACTATAGTAAATGGTAAGGAGTTTCCTCAGGAACCAAAGGTAGTGCTACCTACCATATGATCCAGTTATACCACTCTTCTCTGTGTACACGTTAAGGAATCAAAGTCAGCATAGTATAAGAGACAGCTGCATACCCAATTTTGTCCCAGCACAGTTCACAAAAGCCAAGTTATGGAATCCGCCGAGGTGCCCATTAGCAGATAAATTCATCAAAAAAAATGTGGTAAGTATATATGTAAAGTAGAGATTAATTTATCCATAAAAAGGAAGGAAATGTGATTTATATGATTTATATGTCCAAAATCTGAGCAGCTGATCCCTTTTCCAACTTCTGGTGCTTAGGCTGTGGAACTGGTTTATAAGCAGACCTACTCCTCATTGGCAATGTGACAGAAAAAGAGACTGAATCAAAATGGCTCAGGTCCTCAAGTGTGTCCATCAGCAGTATCTGAGGCAGGGACCACCTGGAGCATATTGGGTTAGTAGTTCATGTCATCCAAGGTCCACACACTTCCCCATCCCTCTTTGTACCAGCTTCAAGCAATTGGAAGTACTTCATGTTGACATGTTGTCCCAATAAGAGAGCAGACCAAATGTCTCTTCCTCTGAAGCAGGGAACTTTTTCTAGAAGTTTGTCCATCAGCAGATACCTGTTTTTTTTTCAAATTAATGAAAATTAGTTTTCTCTCCTGAGTGCCTGAATTAGGGTGAGGCAAAATATTCATCAGGCACACTTTCTTAGGAGCTAACCCTCCATTTATATGACCCCGAGAATGAGGGCTTCCATAAATTTTCACTGAAGGTTCCATGCCATTTTTTTTAATAACACCATTATTCCTGCCACAGGCCTGTAATCCCAGCAGTTAGGGAGGCAGAGTCAGGAGGATCTAGAGTTCAAACCCAGCCTCAGCAAATTAACAAGACCCTGTGTCAATCAAAAAATAAAAATATCTGGGGATGTGGTTCAGTGGTTAGGTATTCCTGGCTTTATTCTCTGTATACAAAAATAAATAAATGAATACACATGAAAATAAAGAGATAAATAATGCTTTTAAAAAGGTGAATATGCATACCATAATATTCATAAGAGAAGGAATCTGAGACATTCTAAATTCAGTTATAAGTAGGATGAAGGAAAGAAAAGATAAGAGTTTAACTGATAGTTTCAAGCTAAACCAAGAAAGAAAAAAATAACTGTAGCATATTTCTTTCCCATATTTTTAAGATCAGCCATTGAGACAAAATTTTATTTTGTTTATTGACTCAACCAACCAAGAGGCTACAGAAACATGTCTCTACTGACTCTCTTCCTGTCCCAGTCATATCCCTCTTCTCTCTATATATTGTAGATTTAATGAAAGTAATCTGCACCTCCTGCTCCCTGTATTTTTACAACAAAATATCTTTAGATCCAGTGGACATTTTTCCAACTGCTACATGATAATGCTGCTTGTGACTTAGGGAATTTGCCCTAGGACCAGGCTAACAAAATGCACAGTTTGTATTTCAGAGATCTCTCCATCTCAAAACTATGGTTTAACAATACTCACCCCTTGAAATCATTCAGTATTGAGTATTCACAGAACTGTACAACTGTCACCACTATCTTAGTTCAGAACATTTACATCACTTCAAAAACAAATGGGATACTCATTTATAATTATTCTCCAATACCTGCTCCCTCTTCCCCAAGCTCTGGAAACCACTAATCCATATTTTCCTCTATGTGTTTGCCTATTTAGAGCATTTCGTGTAAGGAATCATACAGTCTGAGGTATTTTGTTTCTGCCTGATTGCAATCTCCAGCTTCTGTAACTTGGCTTGCTTGCATTGGTTAAACCCCCAAACAACCCTTTTGTGGTTTTCAGGCTTAAAAGGGGCACCCTTACAAATGTGAGCAGTGGGAACATGAGGTTAAAGGAATAATTCTATTATGTGTGTCCATGGTAACAACTTCCTAGTGCTTTATTTTTTAAAAAGCAATTTGCCTCCAGTTTTGCCTGGCCTAAGTTGTCAGAATATGTCACATTCCTCAGAATACTATCTGTTATCTGTAGGAGAAATACAGGCCAGAAATGCCAATAAAGGTTCCCTGAAGGGGAACATTTGTGATCCTTATAAAGACCAGTTTGGAGAGCTCAGGGAGATAAGGATCATTCCCCCTAACCATGACTTCTGGACCAAGTGACCTAGAATTGTAATGGTGGAGACTTTTAAAATCTGATGTTGTCCTGTTTTCAGTGAAAACTCAAGAGGTGGACCTGGCTGGGACTTTCTATAAACTTCCTGGGATACCCCCAATACAACTGTAGGGCAGGAGAAGAGTGTCATCTTCTTTCCTGAGAGGACACCCTTCCACAAGAAAGAGTGTCTTCTTTTCCCTTTTTTTGTCCCTTTTAATGAACTCACACCTGTTACTCTGAGAGACATGTCTGAAATCTTTCTGGCACAATTGTAAGAGTTGGGGTTTGAAGAGGGGATTCTGAGACTGCCTCAGCTTCTCAGCAAGCCATTGTTCTGTAACAACATCTTCCAAAAAGTGTTCCTGTTAATCCTCACATGGTGCTGGTGATAGTTTCACATTTCTGTTGGTGCATAGGATGAACTACCTGTTATCCTAGCATAGCAGCTACTCCTTCTCATTGCTCATTAGGAACTGTGGCCATCTTTGCTAACTTCTACTGGACCATTGGTACAGAAGAGAGGACACAGAGACTAATCCAGAAATTTACAACTATCTTATATTTGATAAAGGGGCTAAAAGCATGCAATGGAGGAAGGTTAGCATCTTCAACAAATGGTGCTGGGAAAACTGGAAATCAATATGCAACAAAATGAAACTGAATCCCCTTCTCTTGCCATGCACAAAAGTTAACTCAAAATGGATCAAGGAGCTTGATATCAAATCAGAGACTCTGCGTCTGATAGGAGAAAAAGTTGCCTCCGATCTACATATTGTGGGGTCGAGCTCCAAATTCCTTAATAGGACACCAATAGCACAAGAGTTAATAACAAGAATCAACAAATGGGACTTACTTAAACTAAAAAGTTTTTTCTCAGCAAGAGAAACAATAAGAGAGGTAAACAGGGAGCCTACATCATGGGAACAAATTTTTACTCCTCACATTTCTTCACCATTCTTTGCTGGGAGCCATTAGCCAAGTAGGTATGACAATTTCCTTGCCAGCGTACCCCATGTTGCTTAGTGGAAGGACTTGTGGAAATAGGACATTTTGCAGTGACACTGCATGTAAGGTGACCTTGCTCAAGGACCAGGGCGGATCTGGGTTTAGGGTGTTCCTGGTTTAGGACAATCCGGGTTTAGGGCGTTCCCGGTTTAGGACAATCCGGGTTTAGGGTGGTTCCAGGTTTAAGGTTATTCCTGCTGGGAATAGGGCATATCCTGCTGCCTGAGTTCCTCTTGAGTTCTCATGGGATTCAGACAGTATTTTTTGGGAAACAGAAGCCCAGTGGGGGTGGATTTGGGCAGAGAACGTGGATTTCCCCAGAATGTGATTGTAGACAGCTGGTGTGAGTTTGGGAATAAAGAGTTGCTGTTTGAATCTACAAGCTGTGTGGTGGCTCGTGATTTTGTGCCCAGCCAGACTGCGGCATTTGGTGGCACGTACGGGGAACGTCTGAAACTTGGAGGTAAGTGAAATTGCTCACCCCTGAGGTTAGGCGAGAGAATGGGTGACCATTTCAAAAAACAGTGCGTTCTTGTTTTGATTTATTTTGTTTTTGTTTCAAGCTGCCTATCCCTAGAAATTTCTCAGGCAAACTGGGAAAAATGGTTGGCTAAAGGTTTGAAGTTTGTCGGCCCTGAGGAAGAGAAAATTGATACAACGATTTTTTTTTCTGTTTTTGTTTCATTCAGTTTCGGTTTAGTTTTGTGTTATCTTATTGGGTTGTGTTATCTTTATAGTAGATTAGAAATTAGTAAAAAACAAACCGAAAAGATGTTAATTAAATTGTTAGAGGTTCAGACCATGGAGAAAGACATTTTAAATCAAGCAAAAGAGAAGGTCTCTCGAGCTAGTCAGACAAAGGAAAAAAATTTAAAGGAAAAGGGGTTCTTAGGAAAAAGGCCACAACAGGAGGCTGTTACTAACTCCGTTTTATCACAAAAGGGTGTAATTCAACCAACAGCCCCACCGATGGAGACAGCTGAGTGGCCCTCAAACCCCATAGTTGATAAATGGGATCCTGAGACAGGACCTCAAAGATTAGCATGCCCTGTACTTGAACAGGTAGGAGGGTAGCAAATTCACCGTGCTTTAGATTTCAAAACAGTGAAGCAGTTAAAGGAGGCTGTAACAACCTATGGTCCCCAAGCTCGCTTCACGGTAAGCATGGTCGAGTCCATTACTAACTTGGACATGATGCCAGCAGATTGGGCTAGCATGTGTAAATCTGTACTAAATGGAGGACAATATTTGTTATGGAAGGTTGTCAATGAGGAATTTTGCGCGGAGACAGCTAGGTGAAATGCAGCAGCCGGTTACCCTCAAAGAAATCTAGATATGTTGTTAGGAAAAGGACCTTATGAGGGTCAACGGCAACAAATTGAATATGATCCTGCTATATATGCACAAATTGCTGCAGACGCAGTTAGGGCATGGAAGACTTTACAAGGACATGGAGATTTACAAGGTCAGCTATCTAAGGTAATACAGAGAGCTAATGAAA